CAGCCTGTCCTATCCAGACAGACCTGCAGAGACAACAACATGCACAAAAACAAGACAGAGCAAAACCAAGCAACACAACAGCAACAACATCAACCCACTGACAACAAATTAAAACACAACAAGAAAGAAAAGCTTGTAGTTAGTTCAAGGATCGCTGTCCTTTAAGAGTGTTTTCCAATCCATCCTGTTGGGGCACCATGCCCTGGCCCCAAGTCTACCCTCATCATTCCCTGGGGATCTTGCTGCTCTCCTCCCCTGCTGTTCCGCTGCACTCCCCCAGTGCTTTGCCTCAGTGTGGTAGGATCAGATTGGGTGCAATTCCCACACTGTGTCTCTGGTGTTGTCCCCCGCAGGGCCATGGGTCAGTGAGGGGCATCATGTCTCATAGTGGGGCTGGCCATGTGGTCCTCTCTGTGAACTGGCTGCTCTAATTGGGGTCATCGTCCTCAAGCCCTGGTGGGCCAGGAAATGCGCCAGTCTCTCCTCCTCCCTCGTCATCTGCTCCTGTGTGCTCTGATCAGATGTATCCCTCTCCCGGAGCTGCAGATTCAGTGCCATCCTTTGAAATAACTTCTTCTCGGGGGAGGGGCAGGCATTCACTTAGTATTTGTGACTGGGGCCAGCCAAGTAGTTAATTTATATTAAGAGTTGTACCATCATTACCCCAGTCAATTTTAAAGTATTTTCTTCAAAACAAAAAAAAGAACGTTTTCTTCATTCTTATACTTATTATTAGCTCCCGATTTCCCCTCAGTATCCATAAGCCAATTATTGCCTCCATAGATTTACATATCCTGAATTTCATATAAAGAAAAACATACCTCCAAGCCACTAACAGTAACAAAAAGAAACTCCACAGAAAAACCTCAGGCAGAACAAATAAGACGTTAAATGTCAACTTAAATACATCAGCCCTCTGCTGATAGCAAGGCTATTCACCTCCCTGACCAATGGTCAGAGGTCATTTCCCAGAGGCTTAATCCAAATGGGGACACTGCCTAATGGATTTTGGGCTTTCACTCTCATACATAGCTTTTTGCAAACTGGGTGCTCTGAATTTAAGCTCTAATACAGTTCCTTCCTCTAATAAAAGACTTTACTATCTATTCCCCTTGGATCACATAGGCTGGTGTACTTCTGTGTGGACATAGCTGACACTTCACATCTTTAAGATTTCAGGCGCATATATCTCTATATCTTTATCTATCTATCTATCTATCTATCATTATAAGCACACACTGTCTGATTTTGTCACCAAACTTTACTGTAGCACCCATATCTCCAGTGATCTCTTTATGCTGGCAAGTACTGAGTAGGGCCACATCATAAGAACTAATTATTCCTAGCTTAGGGCTTACAATAAGTGCAAGCTCAAAATCCATTCATATATCTGTGATTTATATATGGCCCTGCTTCACTTTAGAGTCTTCATTATCATTTTACTGGGGAATATTATAAATCATTCCCATGGGACATATGGTAATTCTGTTGATAGTATCATTAATTTAGCCAGTGGTATAGAATTTAAAATGCTGTTTAGAAAAGGAACGTACACATGTGAAGTATGACTTTTTTGACTAAAATACATGGATTGTTGACTTGTACAGATTCGAACTTAAAGTGATTGGACACTTTGCACAAGCAACGAGAGATGGAGATAGGGTAGAGCTTCCAGTAACACTCATTTACACGAGCAGAACCATCCCCGTCGGGCTAAGACATGTCATAGTTAGGCAAAGAGAGTGTGAAAGTAGCAAAGATATGGGAGTCTGAAACTGCCATTAATGGGGCCGTCCAAGCAGGAGCACTGACTGAAAGGCCAGTGACCTCCAGACCCACACCCTGGGCTAGTAGCTAGCTGCTTCTCACCCTAGGGCAGTTCAGCTCCGAATCCCAGAGACTGGTCCACTTTCTTTAGTCAGAAACGTGTGTTTAAGGTAAAGGCCAGTTCACATAATGGATTTTCCAAATTGAATACTTCTGGTGTGGCCTATGAAGGATGTTATGCACCTTGAAAAGACAGCATCTAAAGTCAGTCATAAAGCACTCGGCCAGGGTCACCAAAGGCTAGATAGAAACTTGGTCAAAAGTGCCTGATTCGGAACCTAATACAGAGCACTTTATTGGGGGCCTATATAAGTAATGTTAAATAATTTTCTTGCGTTTTTCCCAGTGGTCTGTTGCCCCTTTTGATTTACCCAGCAACAGAAGTGAAGTCACCTTTTCTGAAACAGAGATTGCCCCTCTGCCCCAACTCTTGACTTGAATTTCCATTAAGTTTCATTGACTACCTTTGTAGGAGTGTCTATTGATTTGGGTAACTGTGGAATCATGTTATATGGCAGGAACGTACTGGTCTTTTCCCTCTCCCCCTGACATGAGGAACTAACCCTAGCTGAGGTGAAACCCTCTTTGATGAAGTGGGTTTTAAGATGTACATGGATCAGGAGTTTTAGGCAAGCACATCACCTCATTGATGGAGCTCTGGATTAGAAGATTACATGACCAGAGAAGAAGCACCTGTCTTTGCCCTGGTGTTTATCCTTACAATAGTGGTCTCATATGTGACTGCCCTTTTGTGATTGACTCACTTCACTTAGCGTAATGGCTTCTCACTAAGAACATATAAAAAAGATAGGTGGCAAATTACTGCTGTATGTCTGCTTCTGCAGAATATGCAAGACAAAGTCTATCTACTTTTTTTGTGTTAAATCTCATTATTACCATGTCTTCAAAAAAATCAAACCCACTGCCATTGAGCTGATTTCAACTCATAGCAACCCTCTATTAACTTCCGGTGACAGTACAACCTCACAGGAGCAGGTTGTTTCCTCAGTGGAATGGCTGGTGTGTTTGAACCGCCAACCTTTCAAAGGTCAGTTAACAATCTAGCACTTACTCAGCAGAGCCACCAGGGCACTGCTTGTGTAGACTTTATTAAATGAAATAATTTGTGCAATTATGTTTACCATATAGTAAGTGCTTATTAGGGAATAGTTATTATCGTGGTATAAGAATTTGGTTCAAAGAGATTTCTTAATTCAAAGTTGCTTTAGGTATTAGCAATTTGGAATATTTAAGCCATGATATTTTTAATCACCTCATTAATTAATCACTAGTATACAAAAGCTGAACTATGAATAAGGAAGACCAAAGAACAATTGATGCATTTCAATTGTGTTGGCAAGGAATATTGAACTACTGTGGACTTCCAGAAAAACAAGCAAATCTGCCTTGGAAGAAGTGCAGCTAGACTGCTTCTTATAAGCAAGAATGGTGAGATTGCTTTTCATGTCCTTTGGGCATGTTATCAGGAGGAAACTGCCCCTGAAGAAGAATTTAGTACTTGGGAAAGTAGAGGTCAGCAAAAGAAGACTTTCTAAAAGCCTGTGAGCTGCCCTAAAGTACTATCACTGGTCTCTCCCGGGCCTGAAAAGAGAAGAGTGGTGAAAACCAAAAACACATGGAATCAATTAATTCCGTGGACTAAATGGATTACATAAATAAGAGTCTCCAAGACCCTGAGCCCAGAACTAAATTGTGCCTGCCTGCCTACCACTATCAATTGCTCTGTAAAGGATAATGCTAGAACATCTTGGATAGAATGTGGAACAAATTCAAAATAATTTTTAAAAAGACAGGCTTACATGTTAGAAAAAGACTGGTGGAACCCCAAAGGCTATGGTTCTTAGCCACCCATCAGATCTGGAAATAAATTCACCTATGGGGCTCAGTTTTCAGCCAAGCAGTAGATAGGTCTGTAAGGGGAACAATAGTAATAGTGAGGTATGTACGCCTTAGAATAAACAATCATCTAAGCTGAAAGGGCAGCATTTGCCCAAGGATAAAGTTCAGAGGGGTAGGAAAAGGAAGAGTGGAAACAGGAAACAGGGAAGAAGTAGAATAGGTGATGTTACATTGAGGAGATTGCAATGATTGAGACAAATAAAATTGTATATGGATGGTTGAATGTAAGAATTATGATATGCTCTGTAAACCTTCACTCAATTCACAGTAAAGTTTTAAAAAGGAAGACCCTCAACGAAATGGATTGATACAGTGGCTGCAACTTTGGGCTCCAATATTGTGGGTATGCTGTGTTACTGAGTATTGTTTCGTTCTTTCATGCATGAGGCCATTAAGTTGGATACACCTCAATGGTACATCTCAATAGCAACAATCTAGAACATTCTTTCTAGTTTATCAGCATAAAGCCATGAAAAAAAAACACTTAATTTCCCAGTACCACATCCTTAACATAAAAAGAAGGGTAACTGAAATTTGTCTATTCTTTTATGTAATTCAAGAGTAGCTGGAAAAAAATCCCTTAAAGTAAGAAGGCTAAGCATTTTTAATGGCTTAATAACCTTTGAATAAATAATTTTCATATATTTGTTTCCATTTCCCTCATAGGTTTTTATAGTTGACCCTGCTCATGAGACCACAGCAGATTTGATTAACACAGCTGAAATGTTCCTCAGTAATCACATACCACTAAGGTAACATGGGAATTCATTTGATTATTTCTTATTTAGCTAGGTTTGACATTTCTAGTGCAAGTCTGCTAGCTACTGAACTGTAAGATAATTAACAATAGGAATCATTTATGGTAGATTTATTATTTCATTATGAAGCTAGCATTTTTTGGTATCGAGAATTTGAGTCTTTAATTATAGAAACATATACTCATTTAAGTGTACTAATAATTAGACTACCATAGCTTGTGATCTCAGCTAGATTTCCAATTAAAAGAAACTTTTATAGGTGAGTGTCTACATCACCAAGCCTATTTTTACATTCAGTGGAGATGAGGAGCTTTGCCAATAGCTTTTGTTAGACATTATTGACTAAATATGTATCCTGCTTTTTGTAGATAAAAGCAACAACATTCCCCACCACCCCCCACTTTGTATTGTCAGCTGTATCAACAGTGAGCTGAATATCTTGAGTTGTAATTTTCAAGGACATTTTATTTTATTTAAAAGTTTTTACATTTAAGACTTAAGATATATATTTTTAAATAATTTTATTAGGGGCTCATACAACTCTTTTTTTTTTTTAACATTTTATTAGGGGCTCATACAACTGTCATCAGGGGCTCATACAACTCTTATCACAATCCATACACACATCAATTGTGTAAAGCCCATTTGTACATTCATTGCCCTCATCATTCTCAAAACATTTCTTCTCCACTTAAACCCCCGGCATTAGGTCCTCATTTTTCCCCTCCCTCCCCGCTCCCCTCTCCCTCATGCGCCCTTGATAGTTTATAAATTGTTATTTTGTCATATCTTGCCCTGTCCGACGTCTCCCTTCACCCACTTATCTGTTGTCAATCCCCCAGGGAGGAGGTCACATATAGTTCCTTGTAATCGGTTCCCTCTTTCCTACCTACTCTCCCTCTACCCTCCCTGTTTCGCCACTCACACCACTGGTCCTGTAGGGCTCATCCGCCCTGGATTCCCTGTCTTTCCAGTTCCTATCTGTACCAGTGTACATCCTCTGGTCTAGCCAGACTTGCAAGGTCAAATTCGAGTCATGGTAGTGGGAGCGGGAAGACTTAAGATATTTTAACTTATGTTCTGGGTAGGTAGATATTTTAACTTATATTATATGTTGATGACATTTGTTTTATTAAAATAGAAGGAAATAAAGTATTGAGTTAACAAATGTTTTGTTTTCCATGCCTAGCACTGAGCTAAGTGTAGGCAATATACAGTACACATTTCTACCTTCTTGGCAAAGTTAATCCTCATACTTTCGAGAGTTTAAATAACTATTTGGTCAAGTGCCAGGTTATGCTACTAGTTAGAAATGTTTTCGGATTTCAGGGAAGCAAAATGTTATAGCCATAGAGGCATATGTGGAAAGTTGGCTTGGTGATTGAAGGCAGATAGTTTGTTATTTTGCTCTGGTTGAGCTATTGGGCTCTTGGGCTAGCGTTGATTGGAGGAACAAGAAGAAAGGGCAGATCTATGAGTCCCTGCTGACAACTGACAAGGGCCTGCATCTGGGAATAGTAGGAGGGAAAGTCTGAAGTTTCTGGCTGAGGAAACAGAAAACGTGTTATAGTCTGTCTATGAATTCGGACCTTTCAGAGAATTAGTAGTAGATAAATAGTTTTGAGTCTGTATATTTTCATTTTATATTTCTGTTTTTATAAGAATACATTTGAGTTTGTTTCTGCCTGAAGCCTGTTGACAGAAGTTTTGTCATAGATGGGATTTTTTTAAATGCCAATTATCATATAAAAACACATTTTTCTTCCACTTCCATCTGCATATCACAGAGCTAAATGATATTAGCAATTTGATTTTCCAGATATATATATCTGTCTGTAATCTTATTATATATTTTAAAGGAGCCTTGCTGAGAATACAATTCGTTCATATTTTGCTATTTAATTTCTCTGTAAACATGATGATGTAGATATCATATTTTGTATTGAAAGCTTATGATGTAGGTTTATTGTTGGCTTCGTGATGCCCGTATAGCTATCAAAGTAATACAAAAGATGAATGAATGACAGTTTAAACTCATCTTCTTGATGGTTACTATAGAATATGAACATTCATGAACTCCTGGGGCCTTGGTAGCTTAGTGTGTTGCATGTTGAGTAACCGCAAGGTCAGTCAGCAGTTGGCTCAACCAGCCACTCCAAGGAGAAGATTAAGGCATTTCCTTACACATTTACAGCCTTGGCAACCCTAAATAGGATCACTGCAAGTTGGAATTAACTCGACAGCAGTGAGTTTGTTTATGTGTTTTCTTTTTTGTTGTTTATAGAATCTGGGTCACCTAAAGAAGTGACCTTGCAATTAGCAAGCCAATGCTTGCCCAACAGTGCCACTAGGATTCCATAGAAACACACTATTCAGGTAAAGGTCCCCTAGTGAAAACAACCCAAATAACCTATGAGCTAAGAAACAAACATTCTATAACAGGGAAACGATTTGGAAATTGACCTTGTAAACATTTACCACAGGCCCCATACTGACTGATTTTCATTTATATAATATTAATGAGACAAAAAGCAGATTTATGGTTATCAGAGTCTAGGTACTTGAAGGAACCAGATAGTGATTAGTAATGAGTATAGGATTTCTCCATGAAAATGTTATTAGAATTATTAGTGATGATAGTCTCATGCCTGTTGAATATATTAAAAATCTCTGAATTATGTACTCTAAAGGATGGATTTTATTGTTTGTGAATTATGTTTTAACAATTGTGATAACTAAACAAAAGCTTCTCCTACCCCTCCCAAAAAATTACTCTAGAAGTAATTTTAAGTTCTCTGTACAGTGTATATGTCAGGATTAATGTGTCACTTCAAATTACCTCTTTTTCATTTGAATTTCAGATACAGTATATCTATTCTTTACCTAATTACATGGTTAGGTTTTAAAGTTTATAGTCTGGGTTGTTATTTGAAAATGGGTATTAGGCAAAAGTGGTGGATGAGCGTAACTGCTAACCTATTGAAAATTATGACCCAGCGAAGTGGACACATAAATTAACCAGCACAACCCGTATTACTCTACCTTGTACCTTGCTGTTTGTTACTACTGCTAAACATATATCAATGTGTAAAATAGTTATTGTGAATGTTTTTGCTTTGCTTGTAAATGCAAAGTGTTGGGTAACGAGATGGTTGATAAATAAGTACATGTATATTTTCTGTGTAATTTCAGGTTTATGGAATTCTAACATGTTGGTGCAGATCTGTTGATTCACTTTTACTGCTACAAAATTGTCTCTTTTGTGAATACTGTACAATTGTTATACGTTTGTCCTCCACTTAGTGGGTCATATCAGCAGTACTGTTGAAAATATTCTGTTTTGTCTTCTGAGACATACAAGCTTGGGTAGATATCTAAAAGTATTTTGAAATTTTTCCTTAAAATAATGGCACCGATTTATATTCCTAGTAGCAGTATTTGAGAATTCCATTACTTCACATTATCATCAGTAGTTGGTGTTGTTGAACTCAATACTATCCAATAGAATTAAAATATGAGCCACTTACGTTTTTAAAATATTTTCTTGTGTCAATTTCTTCTAAGTTTAAAGAAACCTGAGAATTTTATATTGTTAATCAATTTTTTGGTAATTCAATTTAAACGAAATAAAAAGTCTATATAAAATTACTAGTGTCATTTTACTTTACTTTCTTTGAATTAATTACTGCATTAAGTTAAATCTGACTCAAAATAAGTAGGGCAATAGCAGTGTCCCATAGATTTCCAGCACTGTAAATCTCTATTTTAATTTTTTTAAAGTCTTTAAAGAAGCACATAACTTCATCTTTTTTCCCATAGTGTGAACCTCTGACCTTGCACTTAGAAGTCCAACTCTTAAAGTATTGTATCTCCAGAGCTACAGCCTTTCAAAAATCCATTGTACATATTAAACTTAGAGCTTTTTAAAATTTGGTGTATCTATATTTCAATTTTGCAGTAGCCACCTGTAGACAGTAGCTACCATAATGTCATTTTGTAGCTATGTAGTGATATCTTATTATGGTTTTGTCTTTTATTTAAAATTTAGTACTATGATTGTAGCTTTTTACTAATGCATAAGAATATCTTTGATTTCCCTTACTAGACTTTCTCACTTGCTAGCATTGAATTTAAAATATCTCCTTGTAGATATATTTTTGAACTTTTTCAAATTCTCATTTCTCCTTGAATTTTGCATAATAATTTAAAATAATTTTGCATAATAGTTTAAAAATAGAACACAGAACAGGTATTCCACCTAAAACTATAGCAACATCATTTGTATCAGTGAACGAATCTTTTAATGCTGTGGATTCAGCTTGCTTTAATAGTGCAGAGCCTGCTTTTAAGTTGTTACTTTATATTTACTAGTTATCCTTATTGCCTTTTTTTTTTTTTTTAAAGTAGAACATTTGTTAAAGTCTTAAATTGGGGCAGGGACAATACAAAGACATTATCCAGTTAAGGGAGACCATTAGCATGAGGTCATAATGGTGCCCAAGAGTTTGCTGATATACAAAGTTTTAAAATGGGCATGGGGAGTCAAGGAAACTGTCACAAATGCATGGTTGGCACCAGAACCATGCATCATAGTTACAGGTAGAATTAGTAGAGTCAGAACAGGTCCCTGCTTGGGATATGTATGTTGTAGTAAGAGGAGCTTACAAGCTTGGGTCTCCCCAAGGCAGTCAGGACATAACTCATGACTGTCCATTGCCCTCCCTGTACTGGTCAGGTGGGTGGAAGTAATGCTCTTTCCAATGCACTCTGTCTGAGGGCAAGAATATTCACGTCCCTGCTCAATGATCAGAGGGAATTCAATGGAGGCTTAGTCCATGTGGAGACTCTGGAAATGGACTTGGGGCTTTTACTGTCATCCATAACCATCCTCAAACTTGAGTCCTCAGAATTTACGCTATAATATAATTCCATTCTCTAATCATGGATGTCATTGTTTACAATTCAGCTTTTTTATTGTATAAGGGATAAGTAATCTTTTCAAACCATGCTATGTAGTCAATGTACTTTACTTTCCACTAAGCGTGTTTTTTTTCCCTATTAACTACAATAAAAGTAAATATGTAATGCCATTTCTTTTAACATTTGTTGGAATAAGGTATGTTTGTCTTTTTCTTTCCCTCACTCCCCAGAATTGGCTTTATCTTCGTGGTTAATGACTCTGAAGATGTTGATGGGATGCATGATGCTGGAGTGGCTGTTTTTCGAGCATATAATTATGTTGCCCAAGACTTGGATGATTATCATGCCTTCCAAACTCTGATACATGTATGTCTTTCTATAAAATGGCAAATGAGCTTTTGAGTCTAATTTACATTATAAAATAATCTGTTATAAGAGGAGTTTATATTGCATGTAATAGAAAAATAAGGTAAATTATTTCACACAAATTATTTGCTTAACATTTACTGTATTGACTAATATTATTATGAAGTAAGTCAAAAAGTACTGCAACTAGGGTTTCAGTTCTTGTGCATGTTTATTCCAAACAAAATCTAGCTAAACATATCTGTGTGGTCAGTGGATGGCTACACAACAGTTCCTGAGGGATGTCCTTGTCTTGATCTCTAAGAGTGCTTTCCTGCACCAATAATGAGAGTAGCGATACCAGAAGGAGAAGGTGGGGGGAAAAAAGGGGGAACCAATCACAATGATTGACATATAACTCCCTCCCAAGAGGATGGACAGCAGAAAAGTGGGCAAAGGGAGACAGCAGTTGGTGTAAGACATTAAAAAAAAAAAATTATCAAGGGTTCATGAGAGGGTGGATGGGGATGAGCTTACACCAAGAGCTCAAGTAGAAAGAAAATGTTTTGAAAGTGATGATGGCAACGTATGTACATAGGTGCTTGACAAATGGTTGTATGTATGGATTGTGATAAGAACTCCCAATAAAATGATTTTTTTTAAAAGAGTGCTTTCCCAAAAAAAGCCCCAAACATTTTTGCTCCATAGGGAAAAAATGTTTTGAAGTTAGGATAAAAATTTTAACAAAAGTCAAGTTGACAGCTTCCCAAATCATTGAAACACTGCAACACGTTTATGGGAATGCTGCCTCGTATTAAATCAGTTCTTAGATAGATCAAGCATTTTCAGGAAGGTTGAAGGGACCTTACAAATGTATTCAACACAGAGAGGTCAGGACAGGATGTTATGGTAACTGTTTTTTGGGATCCCAAAAGATTAATCTTGATGGATATTCTTGAATGATATGACGTATTAAACATATGAAAATCATTTAGGCTTATTAACAAGTTTCAAGAAAACTGAAAAATAGCATTGGTGAGAAAAAGACCAGGAAAGTTTTACTGAGGAATTTTTTCCAGCATGAGAGTGTACATACTTATTCTTTGAGAGTGGCAAGGGTTTCCCTATGAGAATTCTTGGGAAAATCTTTCTCCCATCCTCCCTAAAGTCCTGCTCTTGGGCCTTCAAACTTCTTATTCTCCATAATCAAAGGCATTTAAGATTCAAGCAAGATGTCAGTACTCTCATTTTGATGTTATCAGTAGAAGAACGCAGAGCTTTTTTGGGAATGGAAACATCACCTTGAAAAATATATAGATCTAGGTGGAGGATGTGCTGAGAAACAGTAGCTTCACATACTGATTTTTTTGTTTAATAGATGGGTATAGCAATACTTTTAGTTTACCATTGGAATAGGTAGCTATGATTTAGAATAAGATAATATTTCGGAGACTATTTTGATTCTAGCCTAAGAAGTCATCTTTAAGGAGATATATGGAAAGAGAATGGATTAATAACTTGTCCTACTTGACCTTTAAACGAAACAGCTGTGTTTCCCTCTACACTCAGAGATATTTTTAATAAAAACTTTGAAATTTAAGTTGGTTGTCTGGTTTTTCTTTTTCAGATATATAACAAGGTGAGGAATGGCGAAAAGGTGACAGTTGAACATGTGGTCAGCATCTTGGAGAAGAAATATCCATATGTAGAAGTGAATAGCATTTTGGGGATTGATTCTGCTTATGATCAGAACCGGAAGGTAAAACATTGTTTGCTACTTCTCATTAGATTGTACAGTGCTCTGCTTTCCTTAAAATACACCCCACCCCTTTAATTGTCGATGTTTAAGGTGGTGGTTAAAGTGTTCTAGGTACTCAGAATTAAAAAAATTAGAAATCAGATTATTCTTCAGGGTTGCAATATAGTTTTATGCCAATATCATTGACTTTTAGGTGGTATATTCACTATTAAAGTGAAAAAAAATTTTTACAATATAATGTAGTACTTGTGTGACATGTGTTATATAAAATCTGTAATAATGTAGAACCAGAATATAATAATAGAAGTTAATGCATATCATTTTGCATTGTTATTTTATTATTATTTTTAACTTAGGATAAGAATGACAAAGTGTGATAATGGGAAATAACTTCACATATTTTCTTCTAAAAAATTACTTTTTCTTGTGAGATATTCACTATAGTAAAGGGCCTTTATTTATTTATTTATGGTAGGAACAATTAAAAAATTCATTGAAAGCCCATGGTAAACCAGGAAACTAAATTTCTTCTGAAAAGTTTTATTGTAACTTAAAACATAAATGATATATGTACCAAGTTTTTTGTGTTTGTTTTTAATGAAAGACGGGGACTTTGATTTCCTCCCACTCCCACCCCCGCCCTACCTTTTTTCCACCAGGAATGTGAACTGTATTTTCTTCATAAGCCACACTCACAATGAATATTTTTTATCATTTTTATTTCATATAAATATAGAATTCTTATGTTTTTATAACTTCTCGCTAAGGTTTTTTATATGTATAGTTGTATCTACCCCTCATGCAGCAACAATTGCTTTTAACCTTTTGCCATATTTTTACATTAATTTAGCTGTGTTTTTGTGAGCAGAATAACTTTTTCTTTTTGTATTCATATTTTGCATTTATTAAATTATGTGATTTTTACATACCAGAACAGTAGGTTTGTGAACAGACACAATTGATCCTAGCTAAACATATAATTCAAATGAAGAGACATGAGTGTATGTTTTAATATTAAGTTTTATTTGGATATTTTGACAATATTATATGGTACATGGGAATATTATTTGGAGATTACTACAGTTGATTTTGAGTATTATTAATCTGGTTAACTATTTACCTGGTTAAATGGTTATTGGTAAAGACATGTACTAATATAAAGTAATCCAGGTGCATTGTTTTGGTGACAAAACCATTCCCCCATCTGGCACAAATCAGGCGTTTTTTGTCACACACTGTTATGCAATGTTTTCAGAACATCTAAATAGAAAGGTTGACCTGGTAGAATGAACTCCAAATGCACTGCCCTCCTCACATCAAAAAAAAAATGAACATCAGTTTTGGGGGGGAACCCCTCATATATTATGGACTGCTAGAAGAACGAATAAATGTGTGTTGGAAGAAGTATAGCCAGAATGCCCTTTAAAGAGACAATAGCAAAACGTTGTCTCCTACCTGTTATCAGGGCCTAGGAGAAGGACATCATGCTTGATAGAGGGTCAGCAAAAGAGAGGAAGGCCTTTGAGATGGCCTGACCCAGTGAATGCAACATGGGCTCAGACAATGGTTATGAGGAAGGTACAGGACCAAGCCGAATGTTGTGTTGTGCACAGGGTTGCTATGGTCAGAAATAAGTTGATAACACCTAACAACAACAACAACAAATTGACATATATATATGAGAGACAAAGTTCCATTCTTTCAGGTAGAAATATATTTTTTATTCTGAAAAGTTAATCTTAGGTCTGCAATTGATATAGGAGGAAAGGGTAGTTAAAAGTTGAGAGAAAGCGTCTGTCAACAGAGAACCCACAGATTGGGAAAAAATATTCAGTTATAATATGTCAGATACAAAGGACTAATCTCCAAAGTCTATGGAAAACTACATCTTAACTACAATAACACAATCAAATAAAAAAATGATCACAAGACACGAATAGGGAATTTAGAAAAGACAATATATAGGCAAACAGCAATCATGAAGAAATGGTTACCATCATTTGTAGTCAGAGAAATACAAATTAAAACAACAATGAAGTATCACTTCACACCGACAATTTGGCAACATTTAATTTAAAAAAAATCCTAGAGAGTGTGAAGAAATAGGAATAATTTTACATTGCTGGTAGCACTGTAGAATTGTACAATCATAATGAAAATCAGCATGGCATTTCGTTAAACAAATACAAATTTTAGTACCTTATGATCCTGCAAACTGTCTGCTGGGTGTATACCCCCCAAAATTTAAGATTATAACACAATCAGATATATGGACAACTATGCTTATTGCAAGAATTTCCACAATAGCAAAAGCATGGAAACAACTCAAACCCCAACTACAGAGATAATGATAAACAAGTCAGTGTGGCTATATCAGACTAAGGAATTTTATGCATCAATAAGAAACAATGATGGGAGCAAATGAAGGGGGAGGAAGAGAGAGTGGAGCAC